AGCTGAAGACTGGCGGGACGAGAAAAAAACCTGTTGATGTTATTTTATTAGTTACCTGTTATGAGTAATAGTTGACAAAACCTAACTTCGCAGAAGCTAAAGCTATACAGCTAAAGAAGTAAATATTTAGAGAAGCTAATGCTAATCGCTAACCGCTACGATGAGCGTCACTCAGTCTGTGTCACACATCTTTTGTACTTCCAGCTGAATACTGTTCATGTTAGCTCATTATTTAGCGGTTAGCACACTTAAAGTTGGCACAACTTTATTTAGCGGAAGCTAATTAGGCCGCTAACAGTTTTCAAAGTTTATGAAAAAAACGCTAATGTGCTTAACAAAGGATATTTTTTGCTACGCTAACCACTGGTTTTTACTTTAAACTGGAACTTTTTTTTTACTTTTACCTGAATATAAATCTATCCTGAAGACTTGAACTAGAGCTGGGTGATATGGCCCAAAAAAATAGGATTTTTTTCCCCCATATTTGATCTTCGATTTTATTAGATTTTGCTTTCCACTTAACGGAGTGCCTATGTTTCAGGTGTCAAAACAAATTTGTTGTTCTCCTGTTTTTTGTAGCAAGAGCCTTCAGATTTTGCAGTGAGGTGTTCACTGCTCCAAGTCCGAGTTTGCAAAACCTAACCAGTTCCAGAAAACTGAAGAAACAGTGCAAAGAGTTCACTGGTGGTAAAAAAAAAAATCTTGATTTTCCCAAAATTAAATCTTTAAAAATGGCAAATTCGAATTAATCGATTAAATCGATTTATCGCCCAACCCTAACTTAAACCCTGGTGTTAAACAACAAACTAATTAGGCAACAAAGTTATTTGCTGTTACTTTGTTTAAAAAAAAGAGTATTTTAAAGCATTTACAGTACATTTACAGGCATTAAGGAGCACTAAAAATGTCCTAAAGTGAGAGAAACGTGTGAAACTGCAGTTTTTATAAACCCGCAGGAATCCGACAGACCTCATCATGTTTGAGCGTTAGCAGTGGCGGTTAAGCAGACGTGACATCTGTAACGTTGGTTGGTGGCCATCACCCAGCAGGGAGGGTGCAGGGGGTGACACTCGTCCCATTGACCACCCTCAGGGAGCCCCGATCCATTGTGGAGCCTACCCACGTCGTAAATTCCTGACCCGAACCATGCCGCGCCGCCCAGCTCCGCCTCTCCACACCTTGCACAYCATCAGCCGCACAGCAGCCGAAACAAAGAGCGCAGCAGCTCGCACAGAAAACGGCCCGACGAGAACCCACGAGCTGAAGAAACGCAGCTCGAACGGAGGCCTGAACAACAAAACCCACCGAAGCAGGACCAGTCCAGAAGAGCCGGAGCTMCACYCACAAACCACCCCAGGCCTCAACGAGCCGAAATGATTTATGAAGCAACGATTCTGTGAACGGTGGATCACACAAGTCCTGATTTTTATTTTTTAGTGTTTTAACTGTAGTCRAACAACTTCAGCAGAGCTTTCAGCTGTTTATTGAAACATTCAGCTCTTAGTTTTATTAACTTTTAGAAACATTTACCTTTATTTACAGACTGTACCCACAAAACTTTGAGATTTCTTACATTTTTAAAAGCATTTATTTAATCTTCTGCAGCWACACAATGTCTATTTTTAATTTATATACTACTTTTAGCTACATTCTGCTACTTTTATCCATCCTTTTGTTATTTTTAACATTTAGCCACTTTTAGCTATAAGCCAGTTTTTTGCCAATTTTAGCATCGCTACTGTTACTAGTAAAAACCGGTGCAGTAGTGGTAACTGGGGTAGGCTGTGGACGTCACATTATACAGACAGGCTCTGGTATCATGGCTACCTGACAACAGAGCTCAAAGTGTGGG